TGTTTCTGTATGGGAGAAATATTTGACACTACATGCATTAGGGTATTATTTTATCTTTTTTCGTACTGACAGCATGCTGGTCAAAAAGTGAGATAGCCTTCAGATTAGCCCGATTCTTTGAAATTTTGTTGTACTGTAGATTTAACAATATATATATATATATATATATATATATATATATATATATATATATATATATATATATATATATATATATATATATATATATATATATATATATATATGTATATATATTTTTTTTTATATTTATATTTATATTTATATTTATATAAACTAGCTACGATATTTTATTCAAGAAATATCATTTTTAAAACTAAACTGACCACATCTACATAAAAATACAAAGGGAAATAGTGAAAATATGTTGCGACAAAAGATCGATGAAAACAAGAAAACAATGTAATAAGTTCAATGTTAATAAATTAATAATCCTCAAGCGGTTGTCAAGAGAAGCAATACCGTTAGGGATAACTCTGCCTAAAAAATGTAGCCACATTTTATTGACATTGACACAGGAAATCAGAAGCATTTCTTTATTTGTTTATCTTCGTAGTTTAACAAGATAATTCATTTGTATTGTTATTTGTTAAATCTAAAATAAATTTATATTTAAATGTTTTATACATTTAAAATCAATTATTTCAACTATTACAAACACCACAATTGAAATAGAATAACATTAATATAGTTATATTTTTGCGTTATTATTCGTAAATTCTAAATAAGCACTTTGATAATGCACTTTTAAGCAATGATCGATATTCAAGGGTAAACGATTTAAATCATTCTCATACGCGATGGGCTTTTCAAGGTAATAAAGTCTGAGTGGAACACAGATTCGATCACATTGTTGCAAATCCATCTTAATCTCTTTTTTTTTTCTCTCTCCATATTTCCAAAATATAAATCGCCAGTCGAACATTGCAATTTTTGTAAGAGCTAGGGGAGATAAGGTTGTCTTACTCAGGGGCGGTAACGTTGTCTTACTAAGGGGACACGACTCTAAGACGTAAGAGTCAATGTTGGTACACAAAGACTTATAGTAATCCCTTGTCGGAGCAGAGGCAATGATTTTTGTCTGGAGATCTTTGGGACGGTGCTGGGGATTTGTAGAAGCTTAGAGCAGCCCATTGATTTAGCCTTGTATTTCCGTTACGCTATGGCTACGGCAAGCACTTTTTTTTCTGACTACAACTCAAAGATGGCCGCCATTTGTTTTCCGGTTACTGACATGATTTCCATACTACAGATTTCAGAAGAAATGCGCCTGTTGTTTTCTTTTTTAATAAAACAATATTTCTTATTATGCAGTTATATGACAGTCATTTTTAAAATAACACTATTGGTGGTCATAAAGTCAAGTACCAATCACATCTGAGTGAACTCAAGGACACCCTAGGAATTCGAGCCAGGGATTCGAAACTGAGACTTTCATGTTAGCAGTAGTGCGTTTTATATCCAGGCCACGTTGTTTCCAATTGCTATCGTGCAACATTGTTTTGATTTCTGATTTAATGGGTATCATATTGTAATAATGTGTATTCAATTCTGCTTACACACATTCATGATGGTAAAGCTTATGATATAAATCCCAGTCAAATGTCAAGAGCATGTTTTACCAATACATGTATTATTGAGTCCATCCAGCCCTAAAGAGTACCTGGCACAAATCGTGATACATCGTGAGGCAGAGAAAATAGAGATGAGACTCCAGTATATTTCCTAGGTTACATGAACAGACGATCTCTACTTCATCTACCTTAAGGACTGTCAGGTCTGAAAATGTAGACTACCTGATACTTATCTTGCACACTTCTCCCATCAAATACACCAACCAAACCGTCATCTTCTGTAGCTGGAACTTTAACCCAAGAACCACACTCTGAGATAGATCATCTTCTTGATTGCCAGCTAAAAATGTTTAACCAGATGCCAGAGTTATGTCCTAAGAAGTTTAGTTTGTTCCTTCTATGTTCAGCTAGACTTAAAAGACTTGAAAACTTCCTTTTGCCAATGGTTAGGTTAAGTCTTCATTGTTGTGTATGTTCCCTATAAGTTCAGCTACAGTTAGTAGACTTAAACACTTCCTTTTGCCGTTGGTTAGGGTAAGTCTTCACTCAGTCGTATGTTCCTTCTATGTTCAGCTAGAGTTCGTAGACTTGAAAACTTCCTTTTCTCGATGGTTAAGTTGTCTTCACTGTATTGTTTCAGCTAGAGTTTGTAGACTTGAAAACTTCCTTTTGCCGTTGGTTAGGTTGTCTTCGCTGTATTGTTTGCTCCTTATAAGTTCAGCTCGACTTAGCAGACATGAACACTTCCCTTTTGTTAACCCTAATGTTAAATTATGGGTGTGTTTTGGCTGAGACCACGATTCCAATCATTCCACTTGACTTAATTTTCCCTGAGTTGAAAATTCCCAAGCCACGGAAAGATCGCTGCCAAACCAGTAATTAACTTGACGGGAGTGTCCATACGTTTTTCAAGTATTCATTGCCGTACACATGAGTAGATCCCATTTTGTCTGCTTTAATACTGGGTAAACCAGAAGTTATTTTTTTTTTTGCTATGAAGATGCGCTTTAAAGCGTAGGCCTATATTTGAAATAGTTGCGAACAGTTCTTAGTTATCGAACATCGTGGTTGGAGCACAGTTCAATTGATCTAGGTTCGAATACAAGTTATGTTATCAAGCAACTAGCATTACTAGGATTTTTGGAAAACTGGGTATACCTATGTCAGATTTTAGAACCTTCCAAAAATAGGTGTACTAGGTTATTAGTAGTATTGTAATCTTGTCTAGTTTTATGGTTAGAAATTAGTTGTAATCGCAAGGTAGGACTAGGGTTGAGTTTAGGGTAAGAGAGTGGAATTAGCATTAACATTAGCAAGCCATCAAGGTGTAGCGACCCTTCCCGGCGCCCGGGGACAAACTTTCAATTTGGCGCCCCCCTCGGGATCAAATTTTCAATTTGCACCCCACCCCCTCAAACCATTTATAATGCAAAAATACAGTTAAATGACATTTTAATTGGTTTTTCCTACCCAATTTCGCGCCCCCTAAGGTCTGCGCCCGGGGACATTTGTACCCACCTCCCTCCCCGCTACGCCTCTGCAAGCCATGTGTGTATTTTAGTTAACTAACAGTAACCTAACACCCCTTTTTTAAAGTAGATTCTATTATTATGCCATTATCGGACCTTGGTAAAACAAATACACCGGATTTTTTATAGTCCTACTTATCTGGAAAAAAAATGAAAAAAAAATAAAATAAAACAGTGATCAAATAGGTCACCGTAACACACGGTGTTCAAGATTGACATCAAGCCTGGTGTTTAAGGTTGAACGCACACAAGGAGTTTAAGTTGGACTCAAACAAGCAGTTTAAAAGTGAGCAAAACCTAGGTGCTTATCAAACATAGTGTTGCCGAGTGAACACAGTTGTAAATCTAATGAGTGAAGACGGACACGGTGTTTAAGAATAACATCAATCATTGTGTGTATGATGACTGCTAATATGTGCTAGCTAAAGCTGTGTTTTCGCTATTCCAAAATGTGAGGCAGAAAGTAACAATCAAGAAGTCTTTAAGTCTATGCACTGACTGTATGCAAAGTATGGGATTTTCTGTTGTGTACATTGCTAAATAGTCTCTTAAAGATACACAGATGGCGAAAGATTTGGAGGAAATGCTTAGCCTTTATCATAAAAAATAATTTCGTACCAAATAGCTTTTATAATCTGAAGATAAAAATAATGGAAATATTTGCTCACTTCCGGTTTCAAGGTGCAGTAAAGAATTTCAATATTTACTTCCGCTTTGAAAGATAAGGAACACAAGTGCTGTAGTTATTATTTACAAAATCTTTGCATCTGTTCTCTTAAATTTACTGCGACAATTTTCCATTGAATTACCGACAATTATTTTTTTTTTAACTTTTTAAGTCTCTATATTTTGTGTGCGACAATATCGAATTTAATTAGCTCAACAATGTCAAAAACGTGATATATTCGTATTTTAAAAGGGAAAATAGAAGATAGAAGATATCTCTTAAGTATTATACTAAATCAAAGCATAGACCTAGTGTAGGGGGGAGGAACGAAGAGATGAAATATTGAGTGTATCAGATTGTATATTGAGGTCGGCGTGGTCGAGTCGGTAAAGCTCATGGTTGCTGAACCGAAAAGTCTCGAGTTCGTACCCCCGAGATGAAACTCGATAGCCAACAACAACAAATGTTCTAGGAGAGACAACTCCAACATCAAACAACTGCTGCCGTGTAGTTTGTTCTTGGTTGGACAAAGACTATGGATGCAAATCCAAGCAAAAACAAAACAGGCTGAAATCAGAGTAGATAACCCATATGGCGCATAACGAGTTGACATGTAATACGTAATTGTGTTGTAGGGAATCCCTTCCAACATTAAAATTAAGAAAGAAGAAAAAGATTGTAAAAATGCATAGAACTAGTGTGAATGCTTTGTTAAAGGCTACCAAAACATTACATTAGTGAGCTATCACACAAGTAAACTGTGGCTTACAAACTATTTGAAATAACAAAGGGTGACTTTTTATAGAACTAGTGTGAATGCTTTGTTAAAGGCTACCAAAACATTACATTAGTGAGCTATCACACAAGTGAACTGTGACTCACAAACTAATTAAACTAACAAAGGGTGACGTGTTTACAATACACAAGTGAACGTCTCACACGCCAATGATGTACTTTTATCGATCAACTGACCTTTTGAAAATAGCTCTCCATTAAAAACTTTTAAAAAGTGAAAACAAAAAAAAAGAGAGTGAAACAAAAGATAAAAATGGGATTAAAAAGATAATAAAATTTGCTGAGGCGGATGTTAGGCGGCCAGAGCAAACAAACAGGGTTTTAACGGATAATGTAACATCTTAATTTAAACGGGAAGATAGTGGTCGAGAATAGGATTGCTAACTTATAATAATGCTATTTGTTAAAGACTTATAT